GAGTTCTGGAGCTCTGCCGAGCGGGTCCCGGGCGGGTCCGGAGCTCTCCCGAGCGGATCCCGAGCGGTCCCGGAGCTCTCCCGAGCGGGTCCCGAGCGGGTTCCGAGCGGTCCCTGAGCTCTGCCGAGCGGGTTCCGAGTCCCTGAGCTCTGCCGAGCGAGTCCCGGAGCCCTCCCCGGTCCCGGAGCCCTCCCTCCCGGGTCCCGGAGCCCTCCCCGGTCCCGGAGCTCTCCTGCTGCCCCGGAGGAGCGGCTCCTCCGCCGGGCACACTCGCTGCTCCATCCCCCGCTGCTCCCTGAGCGGGAGGTGCGGTCCGAAGCGCTGCTGGAATTGGTAAGAAGCCCTTTAGCTGTTTTGGATCGGCGTGTCAGGAGGGAAGGGGATCAAGAGGGAAATAATAACGGGGAGTAGTTTGGTGGCTAAGTCTGAAGTCTTTCAGCCGCATCCCAGAGAGTGTGGAGGTGATGAGCCCTTAGGTGCTTTCTTCCCCTCAGGGGTGGGCAGCCACCCTGAATCTCTGCTGGAGCCCTTGGAGGAGCACCTCAGGGGGCACCGGGGAAAGTTTGGGTTGGAAGGGAGTTTGAGGATCATCCAGTTCCAATCCCGGTGCTGAGGGCAGGGACACCCGCTAGAACAGATTGTTCAGAGCCCCATCCAACGTGGTCCTGCACCCCGAGATCCCCACGAAGGAAAGAAGGATCTGACAGGGAAGGGATGACAAGTGCCAGAGGTGGGAGCCCTCCTCGGGTACGGGCAGGGAAGGGAGGATTTGGGGTTTATCATGAGAAGCTGGTGTCTTGGGAGGGCAGGTGGAGGCTGGAGCAGGCCGGGGAGAAAAGTCCCTGTGCAGGGAAAAAGAGGCCAAGCACAAGTCTTAGGAGGGCTGTATTTCTGATAGCTGAAACCAGGTGGTTCCAAGGGTTGGCAAGTCTTGCTTGTGTCCCTGCTCCCACAACGGGATTCCTGATAGTGGTGACTGGGAGAAAATTCCATGGAACCAGAGACACAAATCCCCCTGTATCCCCCTGCACCTTCCTGCCCCAAGATCTTTCTACCTTTTCCTCAAGTCACCCAAAGCCATCCAGCGCTGTTGCTTGCTCTTTAATCCCACTCTTAGTCCTCCCTTTCCTGACAAAACCTGTGCCCTACAGGTTTGCTTTGTCCC